CGCTGGGGCGGCCGCTGGGGGGGGCGGTGGCCGAGGGTGTGGAGCGGCTGTTGCCTGGTGGCCCACGGGCCGCAGCTGAGCCCGAGCCGGGGGCCCTGCAGCGCGTGGGCCGGCGCCTGGCACGGGCTGTGGGCCACGTCTTCCAGATGGACGACGGTGACCGGCGCAAGGCGGGCGAGATCCGGCGGCTCAGTGCCATCTATGGCCGTGGCGAGAGCCGGCGCCGCGAGGGCCGGCGCCTGTCTCTGCAGGAGGTGAGCGGGTGCCTGTGGGGCCCACGGGTAGCTGGCACAGCTCTGGGGGGGCGAAGGGTCCACAGGCGGAGGCCAGGACACTTGGGTCTCTGAACACTCAGGCTGCACCCCCGCAGAGCCAGCAGCCAGGACTCCTGGGTTCTTGGCCTGGGGACACGGCCCAGTGATTACAGCTGGAGACTGGGACTTCCCCTGTGGATCTTTCGCCCATCTGCCTGATGCCCTCCCAGCCCAGCCCTGGGGGTGGAGGTGGGGGTGGGGGACACAGATCCTGCCCCCGCCCCCGCTCACAGCTCTGCCCCCACAGCTTACCATCAATGAGGCAGCCGCCCAGTTCTGCCTGCGGGACCAGTCGCTGCTGCTGCGGCGCGTGGAGCTCTTCTCACTGGCACGGCAGGGGGGGCGGGCAGGGCCCGGCCCAGCTCCCACAACCAGGTGGGAGCCTCTCCCACACCCTCCTTCCCCATCGGGGGAGTTCCCCGCCCCCACCCTTCCCCAGCCGGGAGTTTCCAGGGGGGCAGGGCCTGTGGGGATGCAGCCACTTCTGGGGTGGGAGGCGATGGCAGCTGGGTGGGGGCGGCTTGGATCCTCCTCCCCCAGCTGGGCCTGACCCCATCCTGTCCCCCCTGAGCAGGCAGCACCCGGAGGAGAGTGGAGCAGGGCAGGCCAAGAGGCTGAAGCAGGAGGTGAGCCGGGTCAGGTGTATGCATGTGCAGGTCTGCATGTGCCAGGATGGGCATCTGGGTGCAGCTGTGTGTCTGTGCCCAGCTCCATGCCTACATGTGCGACATGTGTGCACAGAGGTGCAGTGCATGTGTAGGGGGCGCAGGGATGCACGTGTACACCTGTGCACTGAGACATAGAGACCAGGTTGAGGTGTGTGCAATCACATTTGTGCAAACACGTGCAGCCGTGGGCGCATGCCCGTGGTGCTGCATGCACGCACCTGTCTAGTGAGATGTACATGTGCAATGAGGCATGTGACGTGTGTGTAGCTGCATGCATGCATGCGCAGCAAGACGTGCATTGCGTGGGGAGACGTGCCTATGCATGCCTCGCTGCGTGTGCATACATGTACAGTGACTCATGCGTTCTGCTGCAGCAACCCACTTGCACGTGTGTTCCTAGAGCACGCATGCACGCCAAGGCAAGGTGCATGTGTTGTGGAGGGGGGTTCACCGTGGCCAGGGCTGCCCCCCTGACCCTGCTGTGCCTGCAGGTGGGGGAGCAGAGCCGCCCCGCCCCCCCGGTGCCACCAGGGGGGCCTGAGACCTATGTGGCCCCAGGCAGAGCGGGCCCCGAGGACGATGGCAGCTTGTCGGGGGACAGCCTGGACGGGCCCCTGCAGGGTGAGTGGGGGGGGCAGGGGGGCATTAACCCTG